AAAGATAAGTGTGGATTTTCCTTCATAGAGGTTACATTTTCTCCTAATTTTAAAAATTAATGACTATTATTTTATTCTTGCCTCTAGGATTTTTTTAAATACATAACTTCTATGATTTTTTTTAAATATGGAATCTCGTTCTGTGGCCCAGGCTGGAGTGCAGTGGCATGATCTCAGCTCACTGCAACCTCTGCCTCCTGGATTCAAGAGATTCTCATGCCTCAAGCCTCCCGAGTAGCTGGGATTACAGGTGTGCATCAAGACACCCAGCTAAATTTTGTATTTTTAGTAGAGATGGGATTCTGCCATGTTGACCAGGCTGGTCTCTAATTCCTAACCTCAGGTGATCTGCCTGCCCCAATCCCAAAGTGCTGGGATTTCAGGCATGAGCCACTGCACCTGGCCTCTATGATTCTTTTGATCAGAAAAATTGCCCCTTGTGTAAGTGAGCTTTTGCTACATAACAACTCATCCCCATACTTAGTGATTTAACCATTTATTGACTCCTCATTCTATGAGTTGGTTAGTTAGGCTGGGCTGAGCTAGGTGGGTCTTCTGCCTCTCTCACCTGAGCTCACTCTTGTAGCGGCAGTCAGCTGATCGGTCAGCCATGGGCTGGTTGGTCTAGGATGGCCTCAATCACATATCTGGGTTTGGAGCTGGCTGTCTTATGGTTATCTGCTAAAGTAATAGGAGTGACTGGGCCACATGTCTCCAGCAAGCTAGCCTGGGTTTGTTCACATAGTAATAATCACAAGGGTCCCAAAGGCAACAAAAGAGGACAAGCCACAGCATGCAAGCACTGTATAAGCCTCTGCTTTCTTCACATTTGCTGATGTCCCATTACCCAAAGCAGATCACATGGCCAAGCCCAGATTAGAGGAGTGGAAAAATAAACTCCACCTCTTGACGAGAAGAGATTTGAGTCACATTGCCAGAGGATGTGCATACAGGGATGGGAGAAATTATTGCAGCCTTTTTTGCAAGTAATCTACTGCACGCCTTTTGTGTTCTTTTCCACATGCTAGCTTATAGAATTTTACTGCTTAGAGTATAGGATTTAGTTCTTTGCCAAGCTCCTATGTAACTATAGATATTGATATGGTTTGGCTGTGTCCTCACCCAAATCTCATCTTGAATTCCCATGTGTTGTGGGAGGGACCCAGCTGGAGGTAATTGAATCATGGAGGCAGGTCTTTCCTGTGCTGCTCTTGTGATAGTGAGTAGATCTAACAAGTCTGCTGCCATATGAGACAGGCCTTTCACCTTCTGCCATTATTGCAAGACCTCCCCAGCCACATGGAACTTTAAATCTCTTTCTTTTGTAAATTGCCCAGTCTCGGGTATATATATTTGTCAGTAGCATGAAAACGAAATAATACAGATATAAAATTAGTCCTTGTCTTCTGTCTTTGAGAATCACAGAGTTGGAAGGAGGTTTAATGGCTAGCCAATTCAATATCATGCGCAATAGTGGACCGTCTTGTGGACACATAAGCACAAGATCTCATCCATGTGGTAGGCCTTCAAATCCTTAAAAATAATAGGTTCTATGATTTCTCTTTTCCAGTTTAAATATTCCAAATGTCTTAATGTCCCCATTTTATATAATGGACATACAAGACAAACATTGCAGATTTATCAGATGTGCTGATCTTCAAACAGGTTTCAGGTCTTTCTAAGCGCTTGCCTCTGTGCTATAATTTACCACCCTGATAGGGAGGTGAGCCCCTGACTTGGGAAACTAGGGGAAATGTCAACATTGAGTAAACTAGCAAATTCAAGAAGAGAGAAGGCAAAGAGGAGGTTTTCCTATAATTGCAGGTGACAGAACCAGAGTGGTCCAGTGAGCAATTAAATACACGGCTCTGGATCCAGGAGAGAAATTTGGGCCAGGAGCAGACACGGAGCAATTGTGGGTCTATTTGTAGTATTAGATCCTACAGAAATAGAGTAAACCATTTAGGGAGACCACAAAGGTTAAAAGGAA